GTCTTTGAACTATCGCCAATGTCCAATGTGGTCATTGAACTTTACATTTGTTCAAAGTAGTCTCTAAAATTTTGGTACATGTTCAATTTAGTCATTGGATTATACAAAAATATTTAGTGTTGTCCCTGATCTTGAATTAATGGAAGGACAACATGGAACATGTATCAAAAGTCAGGGACCCCATTGAACAATAAAAAATCTAGGTATCACATTGAATAAATTAAAAGTTCAGGAATCATATTATACATTGGACCAAAGTTTATGGATTATTTATGTTATTATCCTATTTTAGTTTTATCCGATCATGGTTCAAAGTTTATGCAAGTGACTGGAATGGGAGAGGATGGGCTCTTTTGGCAGGCGTCTTGTGTGGATTTAGGAGAAAAGTACCAAAAAAGTTCTAAACATATTGCATTGGTACCAATTCAGTCATAAATTTTTCAATTGCACCAATTTAATCATAAACATTTTCATATTGGTACCAATTCAGTCCATCCGGCTAATTTAAGCCCGAAATCGCTGACGTGGACATTTTTAAATAATTTTTCAAATTATTTATTATTTTTGTAAGGACCTCGGTCCCACCACGCTTCCGCTGCGCCACTCCTTGTGTAATATTGTCCGCTTTGGATACTAAGTCCTTACGGTTTTAAAACGCGTTACACAAGGGTTAGGGGCCAAGCCTTATAAACTCACCAAGATCTCACTCCCTAAGCAATGTGGGACAAGAGCAATGCAATCCCCTCGCCATCCGCGAAATCTGCCAGGAGCCGCTCCTTGTCCGAGCCCTCTCTGGCTCCGGTGATCACTCCCTGCCTTCGTCGGACCGGGTCGTTACCCATTTGTAAGGACCTCGGCCCCACCACGCTTTCGCTGCACCACTCCTTGTGTAATATTGTCCCCTTTGGACACTAAGTCCTCACGGTTTTAAAACGCGTTTTAAAACCGTGAGGACTTAGTGTCCAAAGCGGACAATATTACACAAGGAGTGGCGCAGCGGAAGCGTGGTGGGACCGAGGTCCTTACAATTTTATTTTCCCTTTTCTTTTTTTCTTCTCTTTTCTTTCTTTTTCTTTTTTTCTTTCCTTTTTTTTTTCTTTCATTCGTCTTCCCTCCGCCGGTTGCCAGCCTCCACGATGACCGGCAGAGGCCGATGGCGGCCGACGAGGGCCGAGATGCCCTCGCTGGCCATAGGGGAGGCTGGCCCTCGCCTGCCATTGGCGAGGGCTAGATGATGCCTCCTCTCACCAGATCCAGCGAGGGGACCCTCCCCCAGCCCTCGCCAGCCTCTGGCAAGGGCGTGGTGAAGGCCAGGACGCCCTCGCCCAACCCCCATTGGATCTGTTGAGGGGCCTTGTCGGCTTCTGGTGACGACAAGGCCGGCGAGGGCATGGGTTGGGCGAGGGACCCCTTGCCAGATCTGGTGATGGGTGGCCTCGTCCAGCCCTCGCCAAGGGTCGGCCTCCCTGTGGCCGGCAAGGGCATCCCGACCCTCGCCCTTACTGGCCGTCGGCAGCCTCCGCCGGTCACCGTGGAGGTTGGCGACCAGCGGAGGGAAGAGGAAGAAAAGAAAAAAAAAGGAAAGGAAAAAAAAAGAGGAAAAAAAGAAAAGGGAAAATAAAAAAAAATAATAATAAATTTCAAAAAATTATTTTAAAATGTCCATGTCCGCGCCGGTCTTGCCACGTAGGACCACCGGAGTCTATGTTAGTGATTTCCGGCTTAAATTGGCCAGATAGATTGAATTAGTACCAATGTGAAAATGTTTAGAATTAAAATGGTATAATTGAAAGGTTTAGGATGGAAGGGGTACCAATACAATATGACTTTCTGGGTACTTTTCCCGTGGATTTGGTGACGGCCACGAGATATGTGTGTGCAAGTGATATCACTAAGAGAAGAGAACATGAAAATGACAATGACATCCGCAAAATTATGGCAATGTTAGACAGATTTCCCGTTAGGACTTAGAACTGCTACTCCATCATCCGGTTTTCTGGTGATCAAGACAAATGCGAGCCGATATTATTCAACGTGAAACGCATCGACGTTGCCTTATCTAGCCTTAACTTTGCAATGCTCCCATATTGTACCACGCCTTGGATGAGAGTTGTAACTTACGACAGGAATTGATATGATCAACTTTTAGCATGAACAATAAGGATTATGTTATAAGAAATAGTTATGCTTGTCTATAAAGAGTCATTGCAACAAATAACATGAACCAACATGAATTTGTACCTCGAAATTGATAATTGAATACAAGCTGCAATGATCCAGATGATGCAAGCGTTAACTGGAACATTTGCAACGAATAAGACACGATCATAGAAAGATACCATGGCATAGCCATTTCGAGCTCTGCTACTTCTAAAATGGGACTAGCCCACCACTGAACGCACAATAAGTCCTCAACTTGCACGGATCAATCTTAATCCCATGAGTTGATGGGTGGGATGTATATTTGCGCAGGTGTCCCCTTTCATACAAAGACTATTGCCCCTAGAAACGCCTTCCTTTCGATTGGAGATGATTCGACACGAGATTGCAAGCGAAGAACTAAAGATTATAAGTGAATAGACAATCTAAATGACTATGGTCCTCGTGTAGAGAACCAGCAACTCTCCTGCTTTCCACCCTCCTATAGAAGCAAAAGACATATTCAATCGAAGATTGTAAAGGAGCAGACAAATCCAAATGACGAAGCAGGAGCGGACCCTCGATTTGACTAAGTTCAGCGCTCCGAATCCTGAAGGATTCACCTCTTTCATTGTTGGAATTTGTGTTTATTACCAATTAAGGCGTCAATCTTCGATCTTGGAACCGAGAGTGAGCGGTCACGTCATTATGCTGTCACATTCCAATCACAAGAGGCCGACCAACCGGCATTGCAATCATAGAAAGTGATTAATATTGTTAGATTTTTAGCCTAAGGTTAATATCACGAAAAATCTCAAATTAATATATTTATGATAAAAATTTAATTTTTTAATCACGAAAATTTCCAAACTAGTACACCTATAATAATTTTATACTCTGTTAGTTTCCGTTAAATTTTACTGTCAAATTTCTGAATTACATGACACATGATAGTTAACGGTTATATCAGTTTGGGGTTTTACCTTCCGTCTGTCATAGGCGTACTATTTTGTGATTTTTTGTGATCTTAATCCAATTTAATGGAGGGTAAATTTATCACAAATGTACCAGTTTGAGGGTTTTTAGAGATAAAAAAATTAGTTTAGAGTAAATCTGTCACAAGTGTACCGGTTTAGGAATTTTCTATGGTCAAAAAATTAGTTTGGAGTAAATTTATCACAGATATACCGATTTGAGGTTTTTCGTGATATTAACCTTAATTAAGACTCTCAATTTGGTTAGTATCACTTAATTTAGATCTGCAATCTAGTGTAAGCATATTTATTTGTTAACAAAAATACACCGAAGTCTTAGAAGAATGTCACAGGAAGGACGATATTAAACTACTAAAGTCATTTGACTCGAAAAAGGAACCTAATCTAGTCATCAAAGCAAGTCTAGTGGTAAGTCGTAATCTTTTTCCTTTCGGCGCAGATCGGATCTGATCATATCACGTAAAGGAAATTTTCCGAATCATAAGTTTCTTTATGAGGAATAATTAATGAAACTAAGATACCCTGTTCGTTTTAGTTTATTTTTGAGATGAGTGCGTTGATTTTTTATGTTTAATGCCAGCCTACTTTCTAGTGCTTCCACCTGTTCCCCTGAGAATACAATAGTTGCAATCAACTCAAGATTATCTTCTGGTGGGTATCAAATGGACTGTGCGCTGGCGGACCAAGGAGGAGGAAAGTGGAAGAAAAAGTAGGAGCAAATAAAAAAAAGAGGGACACCGAGTGGGCCCCACATTTGAGCATGCTAATTTCTCGTGCTACAACCCTTTTGTCTCACTAATGATATAAATATCTTAACGAATTGAACTTTAGCCAAAGGTACTTTACTTTAATTACGTAACTAGACACCAATCCACAAGTTGCGCGAGAATAACATAAAATAAGAACGAAACTGTATATCTAAAAAAAATAATTAGAATAAGCTTATTATGAATGGAAATGAACAAAAATCAAGTAACGAAATACAATCAAGTATAAATCAACACGACAAGCAACTAAGCAAGGAGTCTACATGTAGTCCCATTGCGGTTACAGAGCATTAAATGGGAGGGATGGGTACGAAAATATGTGTTTAAGGGAAATTAATTAGCGGTTATAATACACATTAAAGGCTGTATTTACATCAAAGGGATATGATTATTGACTAATTAGATTAACTTAAAAGACTGCGAATACATCTAAGTATAAAGGTCACAGGTTGGATTAACTAGGGATTTGTTGTTAATGCACTATTGACCATATGATGCAGATGGGTTAACAACGGTCTCCATAAAGAAATGCTTATGTGGCAACGTTTTTTTTTTTTTTTAAATTTATTAATGGAGAATGCAATAAAAGCCAATCTTTGCAATTAGAAGTAGGTTTTTCGAGCCATTTAGAAGTCTCTGTGTCATCATGTTTAGACACAATGCTTACGACTACTCTGTTATGATGTACTTATACATATGCGGATGGGTTTGTTTTCGCTGTTGTATTTTCTCTAGCGGTCCATGCAGGCATGCAATAGATCCAGGACTTTTTGAAGAAAGAACTCAAGTTACTCGGAAAAATAAACATGCTAGCCAGAACTTGAAGATTCGAAGCAAAGTCCACAAAGAAAATGGAGGATGTAAGCTCTTCGCACAAAGAAAAAAGGTCACCGTGTCTTCCTCTTCCTCCGCGTGGCTAAAAGGAGAACTCCACCTTTTTCTTTTCCTTTTGGGGTCGGTTCCATACACGGTTGATACAGAGAAAGCGCCCATGCATCTTCCTCTCTCTCTCCCTCAATTGCTCCGCTCACTCTATTTTCTTCTTCCCTTTTCCTCTCTTGCTTTATGATTCTCTTTCTTTCCTTTGTTTTCTTATGCCCTCATTTTCTTCTTCCTTGTCCCGTATGTTCCCCTCCTTTTGACTAAACTCTCCCCTTTTTCTCTTTATCTTTTTCTCAATTATTACGCGTCCTGTTGATGTTGTGACGAAGTTTCTTATGTTTGCAGTAAGACTTAGCATTGAAGGGCACAAGCTGATGCAGCTAAAAGTTGATTCTGATTTGGGATTGGCCTTACAGTTCTAACTGGCAGGCTCAGTTTAGCCAAGCGTGAATTGGTGTGCTTGGCCTTTAGTAACTAGTCCTGTAACTGTCTTGGAGGGCAGTTACTATTTCATGTTCTTGTTGAGCTAATGTTGTTGCTTGAGTAGTTTGCTAGTGATATCTGTTGTACCCACTACCCAGCTACCAGGAATGGTTTGCTGATGGGTTTGGCTCCCCAGCTTAGTTTTGAAGAAATAAATTAACTTGCCTGTAAAAAAAATTGTATTTGGGAATATTTTTCGATCTTGACAGGGACTAACGTCTTCTGAGGGTCGTCTCTTTTTTAATTTAAGCATTGGAGGCCGATCCAGGAACGTCCAAAAACATGGCAGCATCCGGTGGTTGTAGCGCGTCAGCGAGCCAGTACGATGTGTTCCTGAGTTTCAGAGGGCCCGACACTCGCAAAACCTTCACTGACTGCCTCTACCGGACCATGGTTGGCCAGGGGATCATCGCCTACAGAGACAGCGAGGATCTTCATGCCGGTGATCGGATTGACAATCTCCTGGGAGCGGTTGGCGACTCCAAAATCTGCATACTGGTCCTCTCTAGAGGCTACGCTTCGAGCCCTTGGTGCCTCCGCGAGCTCACTCATGCGATGGAGCTCAACGAATCAACCGGGAAGCCAGAGATCCTACCCATCTTCTTTGACGTCACACCCTCCGACGTCAAGCTCAAGACAAAACTGTACGTGGTAGATTTGGAGAAGCACGAGCAGAGGCCCGGCGGTGAGAGCAGGGAACGATGGGAAGCGGCTCTGAGAAAAGTGGGTAAGATCAGGGGATGGGAAGTCCAAGGGAAAGCGTAAGTAAATGCTTGAAACTCTTTTCAAGCTTCAGTCGAAATGCTATTCTCTTATTGCTTTTGTAAATGGCAGCGAAAATAAGCTCGAGTGGTTTAAAATTCGATATGAAGTATATTGGTCAATGCGTCATATACAAACTGGTTTTTTGGTACATGAGTAGGAAATTTCATTTCTCACCCCAAAAAGAAAAAAAAACAATGACAATTTACCAATTCTCATACATAAGCATGGCCATTTTGGCTAGTGACAGTTATATGAGTGAATTTGATCTAATTCTAGAATGATGTCTGTAATTTGGACTGCAAAGAAACATCGTCTTTCTCAAGGGGAAATTATAACTTATCGGCATAACGGCAATCATATCTTGCGGTGTCTATTTAATAAAAATTCTTCTGGCTTTATAGAATTTACCTGACACTTGAAATAATGATCCAACTCACATGCTATCTGCTCGTAAGTAGTGGTGAGATTGTTATTTCTTTTACTAAAACTGTTTGGTTTGTGACAGACATGGTGAAGTCATTGAACTCGTTGTGAAAGAGGTTTTGCATAAGCTGAAAGTAAAACGAAGACCTTTGGACAGCAAATTTATTAAGGAAGACCAACAAGTAAAAGCCATAATGGAGTTGCTAGACGTTGACTCCAGCACAGGTGTGCGTTTCGTTGGAATTTATGGAATGGGTGGGATCGGTAAGACTACACTCGCTTCATGTATTTACAATGAAATATATCCTCGCTTTGATAGCCAATGTAGCTTTCTTGGAAACATCCGAGAATTGTCGAAGAAAAATGGCCTAGTAGATTTGCAGAAACAGTTGGCAACCGACATCTTTGATTCCAGGTTTGTTGAAAAATTTATCGACGTTGATGAAGGGATAGCTAGCATAAAGAGGAGAGCTGGTTCTAAGAAAGTTCTTATTGTTCTAGACGATCTAGACAAGAAAGAACAGCTTAAGAAACTAGTGGGGGGGCCTGACACTTTTGGTTCTGGGAGTAGGATTATAATTACAACAAGGGATAAACGGATTCTGAATGAAGAGGAGGGAATCTTAGCTTATGAAGTAAAGCAAATGGATCCTAGTAAAGCGCTAGAGCTTTTCAGTTTGCATGCCTTTAATAGTGTCTCTCCTCCCGATACTCATCAGATTCTCTCTCGAGAAGTTGTATCTACGACCGGGGGACTCCCATTGGCTCTTGAAGTCATAGGTTCCTGTCTTCGTCACCAAAATGAGGAAATATGGAAAGAAATGCTAAAAAGGTTGAAGAATGTACCTCATGATGAAGTTTGGGACAAGTTGAAAATAAGTTTCGATGAATTACGAGATGTGGAAAAAGAAATTTTTCTTGATATTGCATGCTTCTTCATAGGTGAAGAGAAATCATGGGCAACCTATTTCTGGGATGCTTGTGATCTATACCCACATAGCTCATTGAAAAAACTTACTGATTTGTGTCTGATTAAAATTGTTCATGCTGATACCATATGGATGCATGATCAGTTGAGAGACTTTGGAAGGGACATTGTTTGCCAAGACTGTAACAGGAATCTGACAAGGCGCAGTAGGTTGTGGAATGGCAAAGAAGCTCTGAAAGTAGTAAGATCGAAAGAGGTAAAGTAAAAGTAGGATACAAACATTAACAATCGTACAATTATTTTCCTATTTCCCATTCAAAAGTTCCCTTTTGACAATTCTGAATGACAAGTTTAACGTGTGCAAGCTCGTACTCATCGATGGTTTCTATTGGCAGAGAAAGTATAAAGTGCAAGCACTCAATCTAGTTGGACGTTTTTTAGATCCAATCGACATTGTCGATGAAGAACTTGAGAGGATGCCTAATATGAAATTCCTCAAGTTAAGAGCAGGGACTTTTGTTGGAGACGTCAACAATTATCTCCTGGAGCTAAGATGGCTTTTTTGGTGTGTTCCTCCTCTAGATTGTAGAATGGCCAATTTGGACTTGAAGAATCTAGTAGTTTTCAAACTTTCGAGCAATGAAAACACCGAAAACTGGGGTGGATGGAACATTTTGAAGGTGCTAATTCATACTTTTGTTCTCTCAACATAGTATTCTCTCTTTGATTCTTTTTTATAATGTTTCAGTGAATTTTACAGGTGGCAAACAAATTAAAAGTTCTTTCTCTCATAAGATGTAATGGACTGAAACGGACTCCAGACTTTTCTGGATGCTTGAGTTTGGAGAGACTGTCTCTTGATAATTGTCAAAAGTTGCATGAAGTTGACTCCTCTATTGGGAAGCTAAAAGGTCTTACTCACTTGGACATTATTTGGTGTAAGAGTCTTCTAACTTTGCCTGAAGAGATTGGAGAACTAGCGAATCTAAAGCAATTTTGTATGAAAAACTGTTGCCAAATGAAGAAACTTCCATACTCTATTGGGAAATTAGCATCACTGTCTAAGTTGGATCTACCATTCTCAAAAATTATAAATTTACCCAATTCTATTGGCAATGCAAAACACCTGTCATTACTTCATCTATCAGGCACGCCAATTGTGGAACTTCCAATTTCTATTGGAGAGCTCACGCAACTCGAGTTCCTTTCACTCCAGGGATGTGGAAGTTTAAGGAAGCTTCCAGAATCAATAGGCAACCTGAAATCGTTACAGAAGTTGGAACTCTCGAGGACAAACATTGTTGAGTTACCTGATTCTATTGGCAATGCAAAACACCTATCATTACTTTGTCTATCAGGCACGCCAATTGTGGAACTTCCCATTTCTATTGGAGAGCTCACGCAACTCGAGTTCCTTTCATTCCAGGGATGTGGAAGTTTAAGGAAGCTTCCAGAATCAATAGGCAACCTGAAATCGTTACAGAAGTTGGAACTCTCAGGGACAAACATTGTTGACTTACCTAATTCTATTGGCAATGCAAAACACCTATCATTACTTTGTCTATCAGGCACGCCAATTGTGGAACTTCCAATTTCTATTGGAGAGCTCACGCAACTTGAGTTCCTTTCACTCCAGGGTTGTGGAAGTTTAAGGAAGCTTCCAGAATCAATAGGCAACCTGAAATCGTTACAAAAGTTGGAACTCTCAGGGACAAACATTGTTGAGTTACCTGATTCTATTGGCAATGCAAAACACCTATCATTACTTTGTCTATCAGGCACGCCAATTGTGGAACTTCCAATTTCTATTGGAGAGCTCATGCAACTCGAGTTCCTTTCACTCCATCGATGTGGAAGTTTGGTGAAGCTTCCAGAATCAATAGGCAACCTAAAATCGTTACAGAAGTTGAAACTCTCAAGGACAAACATTGTTGAGTTACCTGATTCTATTGGCAATGCAAAACACCTATCATTACTTTGTCTATCAGGCACGCCAATTGTGGAACTTCCAATTTCTATTGGAGAGCTCACGCAACTCGAGATCCTTTCACTCCATCGATGTGGAAGTTTGGTGAAGCTTCCAGAATCAATAGGCAACATGAGATCGTTACAGAAGTTGGAACTCTCAGGGACAAACATTGTTGAGTTACCTGATTCTATTGGCAATGCAAAACACCTATCATTACTTTGTCTATCAGGCACGCCAATTGTGGAACTTCCAATTTCTATTGGAGAGCTCACGCAACTCGAGTTCCTTTCACTCCAGGGATGTGGAAGTTTAAGGAAGCTTCCAGAATCAATAGGCAACCTAAAATCGTTACAGAAGTTGGAACTCTTGGGGACAAATATTGTTGAGTTACCTCATTCTATTGGCAATGCAAAACACCTATCATTACTTCATCTATCAGGCACGCCAATTGTGGAACTTCCAATTTCTATTGGAGAGCTCACGCAACTCGAGTTCCTTTCACTCCATGGATGTGGAAGTTTGGTGAAGCTTCCAGAATCAATAGGCAACCTGACATCATTACAGAAGTTGGAACTCTCAGGGACAAACATTGTTGAGTTACCTGACTCTATTGGGAATGCAAAACACTTGTCATTACTTCATCTATCAGGCACGCCAATTGTGGAACTTCCAATTTCTATTGGAGAGCTCATGCAACTCAAGTTCCTTTCACTCCAGGGATGTGGAAGTTTGAGGAAGCTTCCAGAATCAATAGGCAATTTGAGATCGTTACAGAAGTTGGAACTTTCAGGGACAAACATTGTTGAGTTACCTGATTCTATTGGCAATGCAAAACACCTATCATTACTTCATCTATCAGGCACGCCAATTGTGGAACTTCCAATTTCTATTGGAGAGCTCACGCAACTCGAGCTCCTTTCACTCCAGGGATGTGGAAGTTTAAGGAAGCTTCCAGAATCAATAGGCAACCTGAAATCGTTACAGAAGTTGAAACTCTCAGGGACAAACATTGTTGAGTTACCTGATTCTATTGGCAATGCAAAACACCTATCATTACTTCATCTATCAGGCACGCCAATTGTGGAACTTCCAATTTCTATTGGAGAGCTCACGCAACTCGAGTTCCTTTCACTCCATGGATGTGGAAGTTTGGTGAAGCTTCCAGAATCAATAGGCAACCTGACATCATTACAGAAGTTGGAACTCTCAGGGACAAACATTGTTGAGTTACCTGATTCTATTGGCAATGCAAAACACCTGTCATTACTTCATCTATCAGGCACGCCAATTGTGGAACTTCCAATTTCTATTGGAGAGCTCACGCAACTCGAGCTCCTTTCACTCCAGGGATGTGGAAGTTTAAGGAAGCTTCCAGAATCAATAGGCAACCTGAAATCGTTACAGAAGTTGAAACTCTCAGGGACAAACATTGTTGAGTTACCTGATTCTATTGGCAATGCAAAACACCTATCATTACTTCATCTATCAGGCACGCCAATTGTGGAACTTCCAATTTCTATTGGAGAGCTCACGCAACTCGAGCTCCTTTCACTCCAGGGATGTGGAAGTTTAAGGAAGCTTCCAGAATCAATAGGCAACCTGAAATCGTTACAGAAGTTGAAACTCTCAGGGACAAACATTGTTGAGTTACCTGATTCTATTGGCAATGCAAAACATCTATCATTACTTCATCTATCAGGCACGCCAATTGTGGAACTTCCAATTTCTATTGGAGAGCTCACACAACTCGAGTTCCTTTCACTCTATGGATGTGGAAGTTTGGTGAAGCTTCCAGAATCAATAGGCAACCTAAAATCGTTACAGAAGTTGGAACTCTCAGGGACAAACATTGTTGAGTTACCTGATTCGATAAAAAATCTCAAGCAATTGAGGGTGATGAGGTTAGCTAGGACTCCGATAAAGAGGTTACCTGCTAGTATTGGAATGCTAGAGAGGTCGGAGGAGCTCGCTGCCCACAATTGTGAACAACTTGCAAGCAAGCTTAAGATTGAAATTGGCAAACTATCGTCTCTAAATATCCCAGACTTATCATATACTCGTGTTCATGCAGTGCCGACAGTAGTCAATTCCCTCATGCGACTCCAAACACTAGATTTAACAAATTGTAATGAGCTTCAGGAGTTGCCAAAACTTCCCTCGAGTTTGAACTTTCTATATGTTCAATCGACATCGTTGCAGTTAGTTCCGGACCTCAGTTACCTCACAAATCTAGTGGAATTGGGTCTGTCTAACGGCTTTGGACAAGCACTTGCTCAGGCATCAAACCCAATGCAAACTCTTCAATTACAATGGGTTGGAAAGTTATCTAAGTTGAAGAAATTGAGCTGGGGCCTTTCAGATGTTCCTGTGCCATTAACGGAGTTGGGTTGCCAATTTCAGCTTAGAGAACTCACTTGTTCTTGCATAAACAATTTCGACTTGATAGTTGTTGGACCACAATTTTCCAACTTGAAATTTTTATCCAAACTGGGTCTTTATTGCTCTCCACTGAGGGAAATTCTACTCGATGGGCTTGAGCTATTGAGAGATTTGACCGTGATAAAATGCGAATTTCTCGAGGGATTGTCAATTATTTCATCAAGCTTGAGGAAGCTCTGTGTAATGGGAGTATTTGATTGCCCAAAGCTACTTGAAATTCGATTTCTCAGTTCGATGGAATCATTGGAGATGCTTCGGGTTGCACGCTGCGATTCCCTAGGCGGGTTCTGTGGTTTATCAAACTTGAAGAAGCTGAAGGCTTTATGGATCAACAACTGCGATGGGCTACGGGTTGTTGTGGGCCCTGAAGAAACGGAGCTTTTGCATCACTTGAATTTTGACACGTGTGAATGGTCGGAAAGGTTTGCTAATGTATCCAACTTAAGGATACCAAATGAATGCAAGATAAATGTAAGGGCTTGCGCGGAATTACCAGATACTAATGGCGACCTTATCAGTTACGGGGATTACAGAGAGATGATTCTTGACAGGACGAGGAAGACATTTAATGAGGTGCGCCTTCCTTCTAACCCTTCACTTATTTTTCAAATTTTTATTTTTCGAAAACGCATGTAGTAGGCATGACTTTTATTTCCCTTGTTCCGTATGATTTCTATGTCTCTCTCTATCTCCTTCTTTTGCATGTATTAATTCATTTGTGTGCGCGGTAAGTATATAAACAGAATAAATAGACAGAGACGTGTGGTTGTTTCTCTCTTTAACATTCTCAATACTCATCTACTTCCTTTCAAGAGGGTGCGTCGCAGTTGACAAGGGTGGCTCTCTTGGCACGTGTCACACCTCTCTTCTCTCGTGCATGAACTTCTCTTATGTCGGCGAAGTGAGAATACTTCTTTTTCTCGAGTGTGTTGGATGAAAATTTCACCTTGAGTGAACTCGGTATAGTCTCAGATATTGAAGAGCTCAACTATTGCAAAATGACATAAATGCCGTTTTTAGAAAATTAATTATAGTCTTTTGAGAATTTTGTGGTAAAACGAAAATAATAAATGTTCCCTAAAACCAAACTAACGCAAAATTTTCTTTCAATTACGTGGGAATCCACATATGGAGAAATGACCCATAAGTGGGGAAATGAATCTAAGATAGAAGACGAGATTCTAAAATATCACTCGAGTCAAACTAAATTTCAATTACAGTATTTCTGTCTACGAGGAGTTGCCTTGTTAATCTAGATGTATAGACGCCCCTAGTGGATATAGTCTAGAAGGTAAACACCCGAGATGATTACTAGGTCTTTCACGTGTCAACCACCCAATGGTTAGTAAGTAAATTATTTCTTAAACTGGCAATTGCCTTAGTACGGATCATTTATGGACACATGAAAATGATCATATCAATATTTCACCAACCAAAGATAAAAATCTCGCACGACGGCACGAAAGTAGAAGCTCAACTGCTCTTGGTTGTTCGAATAGATTTCTCTTAAACAAATACCCCCTTCCCCTTTATATTTTAAAATGAAAAAAAAAGATATAGAAACAAATATATGATTTATGTATTTTGAAAGATTTGAGGTGTTATAAATTGGATGAGCCACGAGAAAGGAAAAACAGTAAAAAGGGTATACCAAAAACAGACTTAGCTTAGATGCAATACCCATTTGTCAACTATGTTTTACTTATCGTCCTATGCCTATCAGACTAACTGTTTGGTTTGGCATTCACTTTTAGAAGGCAAGCATGTGAAATAGTCCAATTCTATCATTCGTCCAAATTTTACATATTGCTTGATATTCCGGTATCAAATGATTTATTCTAGTTTTCTATGAAACCGAAAGAATTCTTGAAAGAAAAAGAATGCATATAGAAAACATATAATTCATGATATCTATTTATCTAAAAAAGCAGGTAAACATACTGTTTTCTTTTCCTGATAGCTGAATCTGATTAGAGTAAAATACAAAGTAGCCAATAAAATGTGGGTAAAATATGTACGTATATAATAGATACATAATCATTATACCGCTAAACCGTTGGATAATCATGTTGAATTCAACAAGTTATTTTTTATGGATAATTGTTAAAAGCTAATAACTCTATAGATTATGCTAGATATACTAGCAGTTGTTTGCATAATCGGTTTTCACAATGATGGGTAACCAAGGTATATAATCCACTTATATATGAAGAAAATGATGTAAGTTAATGTTATAAAACCTTTAGATCAAGAAGGTTAAGTTAGATTAAAAAAAAATTAGCACTCGTCAAATAAAGGGAATCGATCCGATCCTAAATTTATTACTAGGTTAAGTAATAACTCTTGAGTATAAAAGAAAAATCTTTATTTAAAACCCATGCATACACGTGTCCTACTTGCCAATAAAAATGAAACGAATGGGCAATATGACTAGTAAAATATCAAACAATCGTATTCTACTATTAAGTGCTCCTCTTTATACTATTTATCAACAAATTAATTATGAGCAATTCATTGAATTTTCTACATAATCCATAAATAATTAAAATAGGTATTGTAACTTAAATACTAATTGAAGCATTGTAGTGTTCGGACTTCAAAGTGGATGGGTTAGATGATATTTGAATTTTCTTATGCTAAAATACTTGGAGAAGACTGATCCACTTTTGCTTGTACTCTTGTACTAGGAAGATGTAATGGAAACAAATGAAGAAGAATCATTGATGGAGATCAGCAGCTATAGGTCTCAGAGCTCGTCATTGACTATCATAGGGTCTCCAGAACCTGGCACTGAGCTCGACTCTAGAGGTAAGTCACTGCTGTTAGAATGAATATACTGTCATCCGGATACACAAACTAACATCTGTTAGCTTACCAATATTCAAAATTAACAGCGATTGAACTGCATCTTTGGATGCTTTGCTGCTATTAGCTTGGATATGATTTCATCGATTAGCTTACCTCGATAGCACAAACTATCTTGCAGGTTTGAATGACTTTCAGTCTCCTCCACGAACCACATCTTCGGATGTTTCCAAGTGTTCGTGCTCAATTCTGTAAACAAAATGTGTCTGATTAAAGCGATGGCGAGATGAATGAATTCACAATGTGATCGAGTTCGGGAATCTTGTGAAATTTCGTAAGTAATGGAGTTTACTCTGCTTTGAGGACATGTCCCTCCTCTTCCAGGTCCACCACAGGGGAAATTTATTGTCGATTGTTCGAGGTAATTAATTCCATTTTGTGAAAATCCAATTGTGTGCCACGTCGATTTCCGATGCATATGATACTTTTCTCGAAAGTGCGCAATATGATGGGCAAGCTCAAGGTATCAGTATGTTCAACTAATAAATTTTATGCCATAGGTCACTCTTTTTTGTTAATGCCGTAGGAAGTCATTTTTAAACAGTTAAAGAAGAAGATGATCTAATTCTCCAGATGATCCAGTACTTCAGAGTCAGTTGTTGTAATTGTTATCATTTTTTGGACATTACGGCAAGGCACTCTTTCTTTTTCCGTTTTTGGTAGATTAATGGTTCAGCTAAAGTTGCTCAAATAACTAAAGAATGCAAAAAACTAAAGAAATAAAAGAAGAAAAAATGAAGAAACAATTGAGCTGGAAATAGACGGTATTTGGGCTGTTGATCTTCAAAATCAACTTGGCAAAAGCTCCTCGAAAATCTGTCAAGATTTACTAACAGGCACTATCTGTGACCCTGCATAACGCTGTCATAGATGACGTGACCTGAGCGAAGATAATCTTTGTCCTTCCCGTGCCGATGTTTGCGAATTTGACAAAAGTAATGGTCGAAGAAAATGATTGGGTGGTATTGGCATTAGCGCATTCCACAATGCTAGCCAAAGAGCATTTCTAATGACTGTTATCGGTACCTATGTTTCAAGTAATTCACTGCTAACGGCAGAAGAGACTAATTACATGGTATCTGCATTTTTGCACCCCACAATGCTAGTCAAAGAGCCATTCGAATTTTCTTCTAGGAGGTCGTAGTGTAGTGGAAGAGGCCAATGAAGGATCGATGGCAGATGTTCAAGCAATTCACTGCTATACTTTCTGTTCTGCTATCATGATGCAATGTACATTAGCATGTTTTCCATTTAGGAGGTTGTAGTGGAAGTGCCATTCGAATTTTCTTCTAGGAGCTTGTAGTGGAAGAGGCCATCGAAGGATCGATGGTGGATGTTCAAGCAATTCACTGCTATACTTTTTGTTCTGCTATCATGATGCAAGATACATTAGCATGTTTTCCATTTAGGAGGTTGTAGTGGAAGAGCCATTCGAATTTTCTTCTAGGAGCTTGTAGTGGAAGAGGCCATCGAAGGATCGATGGTGGATGTTCAAGCAACTCACTGCCATACGTTTTCTTCTGCTATCAAGGGGCAATGTACATTAGTATGTTTTCCATTTACTGCTATCATTTTGATAAAGGTAACTACAACTTTTTTTACCAGTGCTGAGATCATCTGTTGGCCGGGGTATTGTCAAGCATTGTTGGCTATGAACACCAAAATATCTAGTTTTCAAATATCTTCAGCTTCCCTTTGGCCTAATACTTCATTTCAAGTTCTTTAGATGTGGCCTCCCGTGGCCGTTGCGTGATTTGGTATATGAATCAGATTTTCCGACTACTAAATGTACGGTCACTACCTAAATCATTAAGAGAGCTGGCACAGAGATAATAGAGAAATGCCAAAAGCAAGTTAATCACAGCATAACGATGAGAAATGTAGCACAAGATATCTCCTTCCTAAGGTGCGAGCAAGATTTTTGGAGTTCAATTGGATTGGACTAAAACCTTTGCGGTTCCTTGATTACCGGAGTTTTGCCTACTGAGGTCCTTGATCTTAGGGGCACTATATTAGTCGAGTGATATCAGCTAATTACCTACTAGACCTTAAGCTTTGGGCCATAGGCTGATGAGGGTGTAAAAAGAGAATCCTGCTTGATTTGTCGAAGCTCAAAGTACACATGAATTTGAAAAGAAAAAAGAAAGCGGCATAACAAAATTGGAAACGACATGCCTCTTGACAAAGCAGATACAGAGGAGGGCTCTATTGCTATGTGTCATTGTCCGAGTTCCTGGGAATTAGATTTTTGGACTTCGCTGGATAAAGCAGGCCGCTAAGGGACTAGTTTCAGGTTGATTATGCCGAAGCTGGTGCGGAATGGTTCCATAGACAAACATCCTTGTCTGAACAGAGACATTTCGAGTGTCGTCCCTTTGAAAATGTCCTGTAATTCACTACTTACCGTAGGATGGCTCTTTTGTATGCGCACCAAAACTTGAGATTGGCCCTCAGTCCTTCTTGACTTCTTAAACTATAGTTGCTTAATTCATGGAAATCCTTTGTTGGAAGCAGCTCGACAGTTCACGTAACCGCACAAAATGTGCCAAGCTTCCTTTTCATTTTTGCAAAAACAAAAAGTGATCACGTAAAATGGTTGATTAAAGGAGAAATTATTCAATGCACTTAATACACTAAACTAAATCAGGATTGCAAAATTTTATGGACTGCATGTAAAACTCACATGGGACCTATCATTTTCAATGGTCCATATTTTCAGTTTGGTATATATACTACGCTCATGTAATATAATTTCTGCAATTAGAGAACCAACGGTAAGAGGAGAGTTATCTCTGTTGGTTTTAGTATTTGCAAGGAAATTTTCCTCTTCGTTCATGCCTAGAGTATACTTCGTTCTGAGATTTCATACCACATTCATTAACCCGTTAATTGTCGAGAAAATTGTCCAAAAAGTCTTAAACCTATTGTACGGCAGCTAATTCAATTTTAAACTTTTCAATTTAGTCGTAAACATTTTAGTGATTTGACAATATAGTCATTCCGGCCAATTTTAGCAGGAAATCGCTGACGTGGACGTCAGCCATCTTACATGGCACGACCGACGCTAACATGGACGATTTTTACAATTTTGTTTTATTTTTTTTTCGCACCTTGCTTTGGTGCCGAGGCCTGGCAACCAACAGAGGGAAATAAGGAAAAAATAAAAAAGAGAAAGGAAATAAAAAAAATTCAACAATAAAAATTGTAAAAATTATCTATATTAGTATCGACCGTGCCATGTAAGACGGTCCGTGCTGACTAAACCGCTACTTCAGCGATTTCCAGCTATGGAGAGACAATTGATTTTGGTTATGGAGGATGAGAGAGAGTGAGAAAAGGAGGGAGGATTATAAAGGGGGAGGAATGATGACATACTAAATCGGTATTCACACAATAGATTTAAAACTTATAGGGTAATTTTCCGCACCGATATGGTGACAAGAAGATAAGACTAAAGTATATATGAAGGTAACACGAAGGATGTAGGATATACAAGTGAAAGTGTACGTCGTTCATTATTCGCTAGGCATTTTTGCATGCCTGGTACGTTGAAAGCAATTTTTAGGAGGCTCCTTTTGGGAAGGTAGTACGTTGTGATGTGAACCTTTATCATTCTACTCTTGTTTTATAAGCACATTCACTTTCTTTTTCTCACGAAAAAGATGCATTTTAAAAACAAATCAAATAGAGGATTACAATTAGGGATGAGAATGAGGCAAGGCGAGGGTGAGAACGCATCCCTTACCTGGTCCTCAAGGCTACTAATAAAGGGGCCCCATCCTTGCCACCTTCCCATGCCTGGGGGAATGCGGATAACCATGGGTGAACATTCGGGTGCCTTCAAATCGAAAATTAAACTGAATATATTTTATTCGATCGGTTCTAGGCTGGTTTACACGGACCTAGTAGGATTTTGAATAAAAAATTGGGGAACCGACCTTGACTGATTCAATTTTCAGTTTTAGACCGTAAACCGTCGGTTCTATCTAAAAACCTGCTCGGAAAGGGTTTTTAACTTTTTTCGTTAGAGAAAAGATTAGATATGATGGAGATGGATTTCGACCCACTATACCACAAATTGTTCACATAATATGTTTTCCTAAAACAATAGATATATTACTCAAAGTTAGGCCCGATTCCCCGATCGATTCGAGAGCCAACTCTGACGGGATGGGTTTCGGGTTCTGATCTATTATCTACATACCCTAAAACTAAATGCTGCTATGGATAATCATGTCTTCCCCACGATTTTATATAGAGCAACAACCAACTTATTTTTTAACAAGTAAGTAATTAGTAATTCGATGTAATTTTTTTTCTGTCGAAACTTGACGTAATTGACATAGCACGAAATGGGTGTTTACTTAATTGTAGAACATGGGTGTTTATTATCATTTTTTTTTGGGTCTGATGACATGGGTGTTCATTTGAGAAGGAGTACATTTATGATTTAGGAAAGAATATATATATTAGGTGATCCCCTTCTTTGGACGACCAAAAGAAGTCCCTCCTCCATGCACAATGTAAACAGAGAGTCCAAGAAGTCCAACCGGTCAAACTCAGATAATCTTCTCCAAAAAAACGAAATTAAGTTCCACCGCAAATCCAGATTTGCGAATTGGGCGAATTTGAACACATCAATCCTCCATATACACAGCTCAAACCGAGGAAACGCCCGTGCAGCTTCCTCTCTCTCTCTCTCTCTCTCTCTCTCTCTCTCTACTCTTTCTTTCCTTTGTCTTATGCTCTTCACCGTCCCACGTGTTCCCCTCCTTTTGACTTAAACTCTCCCCTTTCTCTCTCTCTTTTTTCCCCTCAACTATTACACCTCGCGTTGACGTTGTGACGAAGTCTCTTATTTTTGCGGTAAGGCTTAAGCACGGAAGGGCACAAGCTGCTGCAGCAAAAAGTTGATTCTTATCTGGGATTGGCCTTAAAGTTCTAACTGGCAGGTTCGGTTTAGCCGAACGTGAATGGGTGTGCTTGGCCTTTAGTAACTAGACCTGTAACTGTCTTGGATATTTGGGCAGTTACTATTCATGTTCTACTTGGAGATAATGTTGTTGCTTGAGTAGTTTGCTACCAATATCTGTTGTGGCCAGTAATGGTTTGCCGAAATTAATCACTCGTTTGTGACTTTTACTGGGTTTGGCTTCCCAGCTTATTTTGATGGAGAAATTAATTTTACCTGCCCATAAAATAAAGTTGAATTTGGGAAGATATTTCGAGCTTGACAGCGACGCTTTCGGTGTCCTCTCTTTTTTAATTTAAGCATCGTTCGTGGGTGCCGGTCCATTTCGAGGAAGAGGGTTTTGACATTGATTTCTAATTTTTAACACCACCGAAGACGCAGCTCCAAGTCAAGCAAACACCAGAGCGAGACGAGAGACCTTTTGTGAGGGAAACCCACCAAAAACATGGCAGCACACGGTGGTTCCGGCGCGTCGGCCACCCAGTACGACGTGTTCCTGAGCTTCAGAGGGCCCGACACCCGCGACACCTTCACCGACTGCCTCTACCGGACCATGGTCGGCCAGGGGATCGTCGCCTACAGAGACAGCGAAGACCTTCACGCCGGTGATCGGATCGACGATCTCCTGACAGCGGTCGGCGACTCCAAGATCTGCATTCCGGTCCTCTCCAGAGGCTATGCTTCGAGCGCTTGGTGCCTCCGCGAGCTCGCTTGTGTGACGGAGCTCAACGAATCGACCGGGAAGCCGGAGATCCTGCCCATCTTCTTTGACGTCACGCCCTCCGACGTCAAGCTCAAGACGAAACTGTACGTGGAGGACTTGGAGAAGCACGAGCAGAGGCCCGGCGGCGAGAGCAGGGAACGGTGGGAGGCGGCTCTGAGAAAAGTGGGTGAGATCAAGGGATGGGAAGTCCAAGGGAAAGCGTAAGTAAAGGCTTATTAATGGAAAATTTTCCAAGCTTCGGTCGAAATGCTATTCTCTTATTGTTCTTGTAAATGGCAGCGAAAACTAGCTGGAGTGGTTCAAAAATTCGATATGAAATGTATTGGTCGATGCATCATATACAAACCGTTTTTTTGGCATATGAGTAGTAAATTTTCATTTCTCACCCAAGAAAAAAAAACAAAGACTATTCACCAATTCTCATGCATAAGCAGGGCCATTTTGGCTAGTGATAGTTATATGAGTGAATTTGATCTGACTCTAGAATGATGTCTGTAATTCAGACGGCAAAGAAACATCTTCTTTCTCAGAAATAGGGGGAAATTGTAAGTTTGTCGGCATAACACCAATCATATCGTGGGGATTCTATTACACCAAAATTCTTCTGCCTTTATAGAATTATCCAACACTTTGAAATAGTGATCCAACTCAAATGCTATCTGCTAGGAAGTAGTATTGACACTGTTCTTTGTTTTCTTTTACTGAAAGTGTTTGTGTTGTGGCAGACACGGTGAAGTCATTGATCTCGTTGTGAAAGAGGTTCTGCTTAAGCTGAAAGTAAAACAAAGACCTATGGACAGCAAATTGGTTGGGGTAGACGAACAAGTAGAAGCCATAATGGAGTTGTTAGATGTTGACTCTGACACTAGTGTGCGTTTCGTTGGAATCCATGGAATGGGTGGCATCGGTAAGACTACTCTTGCTACGGTTGTTTTCAATGAATTATGTCCTTGCTTTGATGGCAAATGCAGCTTCATTGGGAACATCCGAGAATCATCAAACAGAAATGGCCTAGTAGATCTGCAGAAACAGTTGGCATCAGACATCTTTGATTCCAGATTTGTCGAAAAATTTATCAACGCTGATGAAGGGATGGATAGCATAAGAAGGAGATCTGGTTCTAAGAAAGTTCTCATTGTTCTAGACGATCTAGACAAGAAAGAACAACTTAAGAAATTAGTGGGGGGGCCTGAAACTTTTGGTCTTGGTAGTAAGATTATCATTACAACAAGGGATAAACGGATTCTAGATGAAGAGAAGGGAATCTTAGCTTATGAAGTAAAGCAAATGGATCATGATAAAGCACTAGAGCTTTTCAGTCTGCATGCCTTTAATGATGTCTCTCCTCCCTATGCTCTTCAGATTCTCTCTCGAGAAGTTGTATCTATAACTGGGGGACTCCCATTGGCTCTTGAAGTCATAGGTTCCTATCTTCGTCACCAAAAAGTGGAAATATGGAAAGAAATGCTAAAAAGGTTGAAGAAAGTACCTCATAATGAAGTCCAGGATAAGTTGAGGATAAGTTACAATGCATTAGGAGATGTGGAAAAAGAAATTTTTCTCGATATCGCATGCTTTTTCATAGATGAAGAGAAATCATGGGCAACCTATTTCTGGGATGCTTGCGATCTATACCCACATAGCTCATTGAAAAAACTTATTGATTTGTGTCTAATTAAAATTGTTCGTGGTGATGCTATATGGATGCATGATCAGCTGAGAGACCTTGGAAGGGACATCGTTCGCCAAGAATGTATTGGGAATATGATAGGGCGCAGTAGGTCATGGAATGGCGAAGAAGCTCTGAAAGTAGTAAGATCAAAAGAGGTAAAGTAAAAGCAGGATCCATACATTATCAACCATACAATTATTTTCCTACTTCCCTCAAAAGTTTCCTTTTGGCCATTCTAAATGACAAATTGAATGTTTGCAAGCTCATACTCATTGATGGTTTCTATTGGCAGAGAAAGGATAAAGTTCAAGCGCTTAGTCTGGTTGGACATCGTTCAAATCCCATCAGCATTGTGGATGAAGAACTTGAGAGGATGCCTAGTCTGAAATTCCTCAAGTTAAGAGCAGGGACTTTTGTTGGAGACGTCAACAATTATCTCCTGGAGCTAAGATGGCTCTCTTGGGGTTATCCTCCTCTAGATTGTAGAATGGCCAATATGCACTTGAAGAATCTAGTTGTTTTCATACTTTCAGACAATAAAAACACCGAAAACTGGGGTGGATGGAACATTTTGAAGGTGTGAATTCATACTTTTGTTCTCTCAACATAGTAGTCTCTCTTTGATCCTCTCTGAAAATATTTCAGTGACTTTTGCAGATGGCAAACAAATTGAAAGTTCTTTCTCTCTCAAGATGTAATATATTGAAACGGACTCCAGACTTTTCTGGATGCTTGAGTTTGGAGAGGCTGTCTCTTGATGACTGTCTAAACTTGCAAGAAGTTGACTACTCTATTGGGATGCTGAAAGGTCTTACTCACTTGGACATTACTTGTTGTCTACGTCTTCGAAATTTGCCCGAAGAGATTGGAGGACTGGTGAATCTGAAGCACTTCTCTATTAAAAAGTGCGACAAAATGGAGAAACTTCCATACTCTATTGGGAAATTAGTATCATTGTATGAGTTGGATATATCATACACGGAAATTACAAGTTTATCTGATTCTATTGGTAATGCAAAACACCTGTCATTCCTTGATCTATCATACACGTCAATTGTGGAACTTCCAATTTCTATTGGAGAGCTTACGCAACTCAAGTTCCTTTCACTCCATCAATGTAGAAATTTGGGGGAGCTTCCAGAATCAATAGGCAATCTGAGATCGTTACAGACGTTGCAACTCTCAGGGACAAACATTGTTGAGTTACCTGATTCGATAAAAAATCTCAAGCAATTGAAGGTGATGAGTATGGGAAATAGTCCAATAAGGATGTTACCTGCCAGTATTGGAATGCTAGAGAGGTTGGAAAAGCTCGATGCCCAAGGCTGTGAACAACTTGCAGGCGAACTTACCACTGAAATTGGTAAACTATTGTCTCTAAGTATCCTAGACATATCATACACTCGTGTTCGTGTAGTGCCAACGGCAATCAATTCCCTCACACAACTCCAAGAGCTATATTTAACGGATTGTAATGAGCTTCAAGAGTTGCCTAAACTTCCCCCGAGTTTGAATTATCTAAGTGTTCAATCGACATCATTGAAATTAGTTCCGGATCTCAGTAACCTCACAAATCTAGTGAAATTGCATCTGTCTAACGGCTCTGGACAAGCACTTGCTCAGGCATCAAACCCAATGCAAACTCTTCAATTGCAATGGATGGGAAAGTTATCTAAGCTGGAGAACTTGAGCTGGGGCCTTTCAGATGTTCCTGTGCCATTAGCGGAGTTGGGTTGCCTACCTCGACTTAGAGAACTCACTTTTTCTTGCATGGACACTTTCGACTCAGTCATCATTGGACCACAATTTTCCAACTTGAAATATTTGTCCAGATTGAATCTTTATCGCTCTCCATTGAGGGAAATTCAACTCGATGGGCTTGAACTGTTGAGAGTTTTGAATGTGAGAGATTGCGAGTTTCTTGAGAGATTGTCAGTTTTTTCATCAAGCTTGAGGAAGCTCTGTGAAATGGAAGTTTTACATTGCCCAGAGCTACTTGAAATTCGATTTCTGAATACAATGGAATCACTGGAGAAACTTTATGTTAGACGCGGCAATTCCCTAGGAGAATTGTATGGTTTATCAAACTCGAAGAAGCTGAAGACTTTAGGGTTAGAAATGTGCAATGGGCTAAGAGTTATTGAGGGCCTTGAAGAATTGGAGCTTTTGGATTTTCTATTTTTGGTCGGGTGTAGATCGTTGGAAATGTTGACTGATGTATCCGATTCGAAGATACCAAATGAATGCAGGATACGTGTATGGTATTGCGCGAATTTACCAGATACTAATGGCCGTTGTTTCAGTTACAGGGATTACAGAGAGATGATTCTTGACAGGACGAGGAAGACTTTCAATGAGGTGCGCCTTCCTTCTACCCTTTCACTTATTTTTTCAACTATGGCAGAATGAAGTTCAGGTCGCTTTTTGAAAATAAAATATAGTCTCTTGAGAACTTCGTAGTAAAACGAAAATAATCGATGTTCCCTAAAACCAAACTAACCCAAAATTCTCTTTCAATTATGTGGGAATTCGTAAGTGGAGAAAGGTGTCAAAGGTAGAAGATGAGATCCTAAAATATCACTTGAGTTGAACTAAATTTCAGTTACAGAATTTCTGCCTACAAGGAGTAGCATTGTTAATCTAGACGCATAGATGCACTTAGTGGATAGTCTAGAAGGTAAACACCCAAGGTGATTATTAACTCTTTCACATGTTAATCATCTGATGGGGAGTGTGTAAATTATTTCTCACACTAGCTATTGACATTATAACAATCCTTTATATAAACATGACAACGATCGTGTCAATATTTCACCAACTAAAGATAAAAATCCCGTGCCCATGTGTGAAAGTAGAAGCTCAAAGAGATAAATTTATAGAAAAGTATATATAAAGCTAACTCAGTTTTGGTGTATCTTTTTCACCTTTTTCATGGCTCACTCGTGCTTTTCCTTTTTCTCGTGTTCGTGGAGCGTTTGCAAATTATCTGGTGTTATTCCTTGGAAAGGTTGACTGATCTAATCCAACCCAAGGATACTAGACGAGTGCAACATGAAATTACTGCGTTTCCCCTGCTCCATTGGCCCCCATATATAGCTCTCTATGTCTCTCTCTTCTCCAATATACTTGCCATAAAACTGTGTGCTGCACCTAAAATAAGATTCATATTGGAATTCCTAAATTTGTCACGAAAGTGCAATTGAGTCCTAAAATTTTCAAAAAGTGCAATCAAGTCTTAAAAACTTGTCAAATTGTTCCAATCAAGTCCTTTCATTGATTGCACTTTTTGAAAGTTTTAGCACTCGATTGGACTTTCGTGACAAGTTTTATGACTTGATTGCACTTCTTGACAAGTTTTAGGACTTGGATTGCAGTTTTTGAAAGTTTTAGGACTCAATTGCACATTCATAACAAGTTTTAGAATTTCCAGTGTACTTATCCCATTTATTAACAAGGGGTACTTTTCTGAAAATATCCAAATGAAAAAGAATGCCATAGCAACCATCACTTATTGAGAATTTTCACGGAAGGTAAATAAACCTGTACTGAATAAGATGAGCAGTATATAGTTAGTGCGACGACAATGCGGGCTCGCCGGCACGTTGGTGTAAGAATCTGCATTACACCTTTAATTGTTAGTGGGATGGTAACTCACGGATGTGTCATCTAACCTACTTGACAGTAGTCATTGCAACTACGGATCAATTATGCCATGTGAGTGATAGTAGACTCTGTAATTGCCATATTTTTATGTTAAGCAATTGTCCATCCTCTCATGCCTGAGGATTGTACCGTCATACACTTGGTCGTGTGACTGGCTTTGCCCTACGGTTCATGAATGCTTGTGAAGCAAACGACTGTGATTTTTGGACTTTAGGGCATGCTGATTAGATCATATTTGCATTTTCTTGTCCTCCAATAGAGGTAGAGGACTAATTCAGCTTTTCTTGTTCTAGGAGGATGAAATGGAGAAACATTTGGAAGATTCAACGATGGAGTACGACAGCAATGATTGTTCCATATTAGAATGTATCTGCAAGCCCCTACGGTTTTTTCAAGTGAAAGTCTTCGGAGGCATACAGAAAAAGTACATTGTCTTGCAGGATAATGCAGACGTGGAGTCAGGAAAAACTGAATGGATCTCTATGCATTATGTTTAAGGGTATAAAAGTTAATCGATGGCTCCAAGAGAATACTTGCAGTCTTCTTGATAAACTCAAGTGCACTGTGGTTGAGGGACAAGTTTCCGGGAAACAGGAATGCAGTTTGCATATGGATCTTCTCTGCTTTGAGGATTTACTAACTGTCCATTGATTGAGGTAAGTTAATCCCTTAGAGAAGACCAGATTGCTTGCCACATGGAAGCATCGTCAAGATTTTCGTCAACTTGATAACAGTTTTCCGATGCATGTGATACTTTTTCTCAGTGGGATAGCGTTAGTCAATGTTTTGGTATCGGTGGCAATGGCAGGTGACTAGTTAGGTATCAGTATTTGTGATTATCGATTGACAGAAATCGATTGAAGTAGCCTCATTTGGCAATGAGTTCGCCTAAATCTTTGTGTCAGATGTCACCTTTTTTATTTATGCCATGAGGAGTCATTTTTTACAGAGTTGACAATGAAAACATCGCAATTCTCCAACTAAATTTGGTAGTCCAGTGCATTAGAGTCAGTTTCTGTCACTGTTATCTATTGGGTGGTCATACGGAGCAAGCTATTCGTTGAATCTGATTAAATGAATGATTCTACGAAAATTTCTCAAATAACTGAAGAGTGCAAAAAACCAAGGGGAGAAAAAAAAAAAGCAGAAGTAGGCAATTTTGGGATGTCCAAACATTGATCATTAAATCAATCTTGCACGAGCTCGTCCAAAATCTGTCGAGATTACTAATACGTGCAATCCTTGATCCTAGCATTGTGCTGTGATGGATGACTAGATCTAAGAGGAGAAGATGTTTGTCTTTCCTGTGCCAATGTTTGTGAAATGGGCAAAACTGATGGTACAACCGTACAAGAGACTAACTAGATGATATCTACAAGCAATTCTACTTCTAGGATGAGATTTTAGTTGCAGAAGCTAGGGCAGAGACTACTGACTATGTCATCTCAATTCTCAAGAGTCTGACGTTGAGCATCCACTTTACTTTTTGCAATGTGTGTCAGCATTTTGTCCATTCAACAAGAAGCTGTTTTTGCAGGTGTACCCAGTGTATCTTTGGATGTTTGCTAACACGTTATTATCGTGCGACTTGGATAGCATTGCACCGGCAGGGTCTTTCGAGACTGAGCGGGGAAAGAGGTTTCTGACAAATCCTGCCAAGTCACCCATAAGTCGATCCCACAGGAAGACTCTGATTGAAGCTACATTTATCGAGTTTGGCAAACCATCGTAATCAGATTCTCTTTCTGGCTGGTTCAAAGTTGCAATAGAACTTTTAGAGTCTTCTTGGCTGAATAATATAGACAATCACTAGAAACGGGCAAGTTTCTTGAAACAAAAAAATGATCACTAGATAACAGATGGTATGTTTGTGAACGCGCTGACACCTCGATCTATAGAAGTTTACCTGATGCCGACAGTATTGAGTTTGGAAAGTTTTCGTTTCAAGTTCTTTCATTAGATGTTCTATTGCATAATTTGACATGTTAAGAAGAGTGGATCAGGATGATAAGAGTCTCTTTAGTAAGAATAAGCTTTGTTGACGCATGAATTGGGCGGATCCTTAACCAAATGGTAATCGACCCAAATGCTTTGAACGATTCGCACTGCCAAAAAATTAAGTGGTCGAACGTTTGTTCGCCGAGAATCTCCAATTGCCCAAGTCAATGTATTTGTGCAGAAAGAGAGGCTAGAGATGGAGCATGCATTGCCAAAGGAAATTTGTATTTTGTGGAGTGAGATCATGGGATTACTGTTGGTGGGCTTATTCACAAGTTAGTGTGCTCTATGAGCTTTTTTTCCTACTTAAAGGGCCCAATAAATCTTGTATTCGTCGAGCTTGGCCCAACCAATGCGATGAATGAGGTAGAATCCTCTTCTTACTTTAATACGCTTCCCAATTCAGCCAAACAAAGTTCATATCTAGTGGCTGAAGGGAAAGATCAGAAGAGAAATGGCCTCCCTAAATTGGTATGTCCTCATAAAGAGTAATGCTACATGTACTAAGAAAACTTACTGAAATTCTTTTACTAAATGAGTGATAACTTCATTTGGATGTTTAAATAACCTAATCATTCAAAGCACGGGTCCCACTTGTTTCAACATCCAATTAAATCCTGCGTTATCACTTAATAAAAGAACTATTCTAGTGGGATTTCTTAGTGCATGTAGCATTTCTCTTCTCAAGATGCATGCAGATCATGGTGAAAAAAAACGTCTGATAAGAAGAGGCGCGATCTGTCATTTATGCTCTTGCTCTTCTAGTCCAACTTATGAGTGGAAGATATTGTTGTTCTCGTCATTCGTGTTTTATTCTTTGATACACTTTTACTTTGTTGAGTTATTGAGCGAGAACTTCATTTACCGAGAGTACTTGTCATTATTTGTAATCTCTCTTGAGAAATATACAAGTGTTGCAATAGTGCTTGGGTTTAAGTAGTGTGATCTACCAATTTTAGGTAAAAGCAACACAGACTACGTTTTAACCTCTCAAAGGATTACTAGTGGATACTAGCCTATTGGTGGCTATTAGTTTAGGAGAGTAGATGTAGGCTTGATCTAAATTGAACCACTATAAGAGTTGCGACAACATCTTCTATCCCTCCCTACTTATTTCCGTATGTAATTGATAAAAGTATACTGCACTTGATATCATCAGCTTACTCTTGCATATATCAAACTGTTCCTACACCTTCAAAATTATTTTCGCGGCAATTTTACCTCAAGTTTTGATAATCAACTTATTCACCCTTTCTAGATTGCTTATTTAACCAAGAAAGTGACAGTTTATGAGTTGTAGGTCCACATTCAAGACAAGCAATCTAAATCTTGACATTCTTTATACCTGATCCTGTAGAGTTATGTGCAATTATACCGAAGAGACAAAGTTCACTCCATCTTAAGAGAACAACGGAGCAACTCACTGAAATAGGAATTTTTTATTCTTTTTTCACTTTTTCTAATCAAGTCCCGGTACTTTTAATTGTTCTAATCAATTCCTTCTACTCATCAAATAGTCTAATTAAGGCACTCCAACGCTAATTTGGCCAAATCCAGCCAAAGCTGTTGTTCGACAACGTGACATGGACAACATTTTGCCAACATAGACGACCACCATGAAAGGAAAAATATTTTGTTTATTTTTAGTTTCTTCTTTTTTTCCCATGGTAGAATCCATGTGGCCGTCAACATTTGCAAAATGTTATCCACATTGCACTCTAACTTTGTCCGACAGACATGTCAGCAATTTGGCCATAGTTAGTGTCAAAGGGACCTGATTCGACAATTTACACAAGTAGTAAGACTTGATTAGAAAAATTAAAACCTAGAGTTTGATTAGAAAAATCGTGAAAGCATGCAATCGAAAAGTAAAATTTCCCTCGATTAGAACATCACCAGAATACGCTTCCAATCACATATATTCTTCTGAAAACGCAAAAGAAAAGAACATTCCTAGCCCCAAGAATACAATCCCAACACGACCAAGACCACGTGCCATCCACGTCCCATTAGGGGCATTGCTCCTTCCCTCCATTGTACTACAGATTCTCTGACCAATGAAAAAGAAAGGATGAATACCAATACAAATTGAGAAACCCCGTGGTTGTTTTGTACTTTGTCTGAAAGTAAATTTTGTAAGAAGGAAGCACGACCACCACATCTCAAACCCCCACACATCGTTGCGAAAGACAAAGCTCCATTGGGAGCCATTCATTCTCCGGAGGAGATCAGCGCCCAATTGGGTGACCAGTGAAAATCCAAGCCTTCATCAACTTTTTACTACACGCACAAACGGATGTGACAAAGTCCAATTAATGCTGCAGAAATGCCCTGTTCGACAGAAGAATGCGGTGCTCAATTAAAAGCAATAATGCTGCACGAAACGTGGGTGCTTTCTAGAATTGTTGTTTGTTGTTGGGGTGAATCTTCTTGCTCTGCCTTCTCCCTTTTGGCTTTGTATTGGTGGCGGATGGTGAGAATTTTTTGTAACACATAGTGGATTGAAGTACAATTAAATTTTAAACCTTTAAATTGTGTAATAAGGCCCTAAAATTTGTCCAAAAAAAGTGCACTCAGATAGTTCAACTAGCTTCCTTCATTTGGAGCGACAAAAAAATTCCAACGTGACTTTGTATTATACTTTCTAGGATACTCAATGCTAGGCACCGATCAGAAAAATGGACTACAAACTAGAACAAATAGAGAGCGGAGTGGGGAGTGACGACACCGGACCTTTGTGGATAGCAAGGGCCCCTCGCGGCCATTTACACGAAAACCACAGGCCCTGCCATGAGGGCAAGCGCCTTTGCCTGTGATGGGGCCACCGCGCACCACCATCCAAGTTGGCCTTCATGACTACCATGTGAGGATCAATCAATCCTTATCAACCAACCCTTGCTTGGTGATGGGAGTGCAAACAGTCCCTCGCTTGCCCAGGGGTGGGGCGTGAGCTCAAATTGGTCGCCATGAAAAGTTTGGCCACCCTCGCGGAGACTTGCTAAGGGGCCACTCATTTGAAACAGCATTAGCGCCTTATCAGAACTAAGAGTCCTTAAAAAATGGCCAAATCAAATTTTCCCTTCACTCAAAATAAACAAAGCAAACCAAAATACTTGATTGCGTTTTAAAAGAAAAATTACTTTGATTGTACTTTTTTGAAAATTTTAAGACTTCATCACACTTTCTTTACAAGATTTAGAAAATAAGAATGTTCCATCATTAGTACTTTAAAACGACACTATTTCCACAGATTATAGGGAAAATAGGAGTGAACATCGTATATGTATCTAAAGATAATCAGCTTGGTCTAATTCAATGTTTTCGAGTGTTCGCATTGGGGTAAATTTCATCAATGGTCACTTAACTTGGGTGGCATTTGCAGTTGGGCCACTAAATCTTGATTTCAATCACCTAATGCACTGAACTTTCGTTTTTTTTTTTGTGCAATTCATACACCTTGGTCAGATTTTGGTTACACGTTAACATGACAAACATGTGGGGCAAACATGGCGTCCAACTGTGAGCCATGTCACCCTAACAAAAGAGCCATGTCAAATCCAACCCAATGTTCTAATATCACCAACAAAGTGATACGCTATTATCTACTTAACGCTTCACGTATCGTAGTGCTTGGACATGCTATTATTATCATTGTTGTCTTTCGAAAATACTTAAAGCCCAAGGCGCCCTGGGCTTTTGGCTTTGCCAATGATGGCATTTTCCCAAAGTGATCCAATTTTTTTTTATCAAATACTCTTAACTTTTTCACAATGAACTATATAAGGCTAAAGTCCCTCGAGTAAGCTAAACCAAACGCAACCTAAAGCACATATATCTCTGCGAATCAATTCCTGATACAATAAATCAATTATTTGCAACTTAATTCTATTGCAAAGAAAAATAATTAGACTATATTTTAGCATTGCACTTTTTTGTCTAGCTTAATTACCGATGAAAATGACAGATCTATCGCCAAAGGTGATCCTTTTAATGTACAAGAAATGAAAAAACAAAAAAAAAGAAAAGAAAAAAAAGAATACTTATTTTCAAATAATATCATCAAGTTTTTTCTTTCTTTTTTAGCCAAGCAAGATAATTTTGGATAAAGTCCATCACACTTATTATTTCTCATCATTCTTATCTTACAATCTTACAATCATATAAGTTAGGAAAATAATTTCAAAGAAAATGGAGAAAAATAGGGCACATAATTTTTTTATTTTTTTAACTTGTATATGGTTACGATTTACTTGGGATCATTGAGATGATAAATAAGATTTTCTTTCCTTTCTTTTTATTGAATTTGGGCAGACATAAAAGTGATGAGTGAGGCAATGGTACACAAAAAGGAGGACTTGAAGATAACCCGCATGCAGATGAAGTCATGATGGGGATGCTCAACGTGTTCTCGCTCCCCAGGTCAGCGATGGCGAGGCGGACCTCCAACTGGATCGATCGTCACTACAGGATCATGTTGGCAAGGGCAATCTTCTTCATTGGGCCCCTCCTCATGGCTTCGCCCCAACTATGCCTCCTTCCTGTTGGACCGCTTAACCAGTCTTGGTGTTGGCTACGCCCTTATGATCGCCATCTACATCGCTGAGGTCTTCCCTACCTTTTCCAGCGGGTTCAAGGCGAGGAAGTCGCGGGGAAAGGCAAGGAAGACCTCGGCCATGTAGTCGGCAATCAGAAGGGTATAGCCAATGCCATCACTAGTGAAGGAGTCATAGTTGGGATCGAAGCCCAAAAGGAGGGGTCAGGTGAAGAAAATGGCCCCCGCCAACTCAATCATGTAGCGGCGGCCGATCCAATTGTAGGTTCACCTTGCCATCGGTGACTTGAAGAGCGATGGCAACACGTTAAGCACTCTCTGAAGACTTAACCTACATGTCGATTATTTTCAAGTCCTTCTTTATGTATACCAACACCTCGCTCA